AAACCTCAAACCTTAATTTTGAAATAGTGATACAAAAATACCTTATTTATGTATTGTTCCCACTAAAATATTTAGTTAGAATTTCGATCCAATAAGGGTACACTAGTTGAAGCACTGACCCCCTAATTAACCCTACGATCCACGAGATTCAACTAGTTAGTGGCCTAATTTGTTATGGAAACTATAGAAAAGTAAACATTGCGTTTGTTAGTAATTGAGGAAGCCCATTTCTATGGATGGGCTGAATTTTTTTAGACGAATAAAATCATTTTTTATCCAAGAAAACGTAGGAGCTAAACTTCCAAAAAGTACTTAAGTTAAATTACAGGAAGACTTTCAAGTTTCAATTTATTTATATTGGTTTTATTCCTTATTTCATTGTTCAGAAGTACTTTAATGTCTTTTGGCACGAGTGGCCTATTAGAAATTTAAAGGAATTTTAGAGGGTAAATTTATATTTGTAGTCACTGAACTTCCAGAGAGATTTTAATTGTGTCACTAACTTTAATTTATCTTAATTGAGTCACTGAATTTCTATTTATTTTTAAATATGACAATTTTGTAACTTGTCATCTCCCAAATTACTAAAAAACTGCTAAATTAGAAGTCATACCTAAAAAATCTTCCATGTAATCATTACGCGACATGTCACTTTTCCAATATGTTTTAGTCATAAAAGTGCTAAAACAAATGTCCTTTGAGCTTTAAATATAGAATTACATTACCTTCATTCTTACCACTTCATTTAAGGATACCATTTATCGATTTACGTAGAAGATCGGTAATGGTGTGTTGCCACCTAAGAAACTTCAGTCACATTTTGGGGACAATAGTTAACGAAACGTAATAGAGCAATTATATTTGAAATTAAATTGAATGTCATTTAACTCAATCGCAAAAAATTAAAGTACAATAATTTAATTAAAATTTCATTAAAAGTTGAATAACAACAAATGAAATTTATCTAATTTAAGATCTATTTTACGTTTTTATAGCAAGTTAGATCATGAGGCAACCTAGTAGGATACGTCATACGTAAAAGTGATTGACACAATTCACTTCACCCTTCTAATTTTTTTATTTTTTATTTCAATTTAAAAATGTATCATTTATCTTCACCTTGTTCTAGGGATGGCAAAATGGCTCGACAGCTCGGGCTAGGCCCAAAAAAAGTCCGAATCGGGGCAGCTCGTGGCTCGATGAGATTGAGCCGAGGTTAGGGCCTAGCCCCATTTTGGGGCATTGGCTCAAGCTAGCCCGTGGCTCGTCATCGGCCCATGAGCCAAGTCTTAAAAAAAATTTAAAAAATACAGCCGCTTGCGTTTGCAATTAACTAAAATTATAGTTGCCTACAACGCGGGTAGCATATGTCAGTCACAACTGCCTGCGTTGCAGCTATTTTTATTTTTTTATTTTTTTT